CCCCCCCCCGAAGGTTGAGCTGTATGTCACCGACGGAGCCCCCGCTCACCACACAGCGGGACAACGTGACAACACCACACAAGCGAAGCAAAACCTGTGCGCAAAAGCCATGGATAGGATGGAGCAGGCCAACTCTCACTTCTTAAACTCCTGGAGGGCAACGTTGAAGTCGAACGCCTGGTTGCGGTCGTCGAACGCCAGCCCCACGAAGGCGTGTCTGCCTTGGGCGTTCTGGATCTTGATGACGAAGTAGCGGCTGCTGTCCGGGACTCGCTCCACCGCCCCGTCCGCCACCTTGCACATGGCGAACAGCTTGCCGTCCCGTCTGCACGCACGCATGCATGCATGCAGGCCACGCGCGTTGTTTTTGGTTGTGGCGAGCGGGGGGGGAGGGGGAGGGGGCATGGACTTGAAAAACAGCATCAGCGGGTTGTACGACAGGGCTGTTGTTGTTGTTGTTGTTGTTGTTGTCTTTGGTCTGCTGCTACTGCTATCACTGTTGTCGCTGCTATTGCTATCGATCGTGTTGCTTCCTCGCGGATCGGCGGGGGGGAGGGGGGGCATCCAAACGTGTAGGCGGCAAGCATGATTTGCCGTCCGGTTTAAGATATCTGAGTCACGAGCATCGGCGAGATCACCACGGTAGCCCTTGGCCGCCCGTGTGCCACGACGTGCCCATGTGACAAAATCAACAGGTACACGCTCAACAACATGCTGCGGACAGCCAAAAAACTACCACAGAGACACCCAAAAACGTACCCCGAACGTACGGGAATGTTTTGCTTGATCATCTTCATATATCAGCGCTCACAGCCCGGTAGGAGCTCTTTAATCCATGGCCAAACAGAAGGGTTCCTCCCCAACCCACCCCTCCCGTGGGTGGTTGCCTTCGGTTTCTTAACACGAGACGGGCGTGGTCGTGAAAATCGTTTACCTGTCGACCAGCATGATCGCCGCCTCCTGGCCCCTTTGAACCACCCTCATGCGGCCCGTCCACATCTGCTTCGTCATGTCGGCAGCCCTGTCCACGTCGTGTTTTCGACGTTCATCCATGGTTCATGTTGATGGCCGTCGTCGCAGACGAACGGGCAGGGGAGGACAAACACGGGACATGAAACAGAGCGGTGGACACCGGTGCAGAGAATCAATCGTCTGGGACAAACCTATAAACTCAATGGGGTTTCACTCAAGTGATGTGATCAAGCGAGGAAAACAATTCAGCTTGCCGCTGTCGGTTGAAGGAAGAGACGGAAGAGCGTCGTGCGGAGCGCACAGGTAGTAAGGACTCCCGTCGCCGCCTCTAAAACCGGCCAGAAAGCCCGTGGTGTGGTGGAATTATCGTGGGAATGATGGCCTAAAAAAAACGGCTAGAAAACCCGTGGTACGGCGGTAGAAATGCCATGGTGCTGATTGCCTCGATACCGGCCATAAAAAAAACGTGGTACGGTAGACATACCACGGTACTACTTCTCTTAAAAAATTCCTTCGTGGATGCAAGCACTGCGATAAGAACTCCTCATCCCCGAAACGCGCACAAACAGCGGGTGCGAATCATCAAAGCACACCAGGCGATCAAAACTAACGACGACGAGCTTCGGCAACGACATCCTCCGCCACGAGACGAGACAAGACAAAGACAACGACGAGTCACAGCCACACCCACAAAGTCTCCAAACAGGCAAAACTCACAGCCATCCCTGGGCCCTGACTCGCGGGGGGAGCTCGAAGAGGTAGCACTCCTGGATCTGCGTCAGCGTGTGCTCCACGATCTCATCCTCTATAGTAGAAGTGAGGACAGTGCAGCGCGGTGTGTGGGGTCGGGGTGGGTGGGACAAAGACTACGGAATTTATGGTAACGGTAATGGTTGATCGTGCGACGCGGTACGACTTGTCTGCCCCTGGTCGTGTTCTGTACAGCTGTACAGCACCCACGGCTGCAGTGGCTGTCGTCCATGCTACGGAGGGGGGGGAGGAGGAGGAGGAGGAGGAGGAGGAGGGAGGAGGAGGAGGGAGGAGGCACTGGATACAAACGTCTAGGGTCGTATCAACTATTGGCGTCGATCGCGCTAATCGGCCGACCAACGAAATATTACTTCATGTTACGCATAGCGCGGCTGCAAAGTGCGCGTGAATGTGTCTTTTTATTTAACTAGCATCGGCCGCTCGAACCGGTTCACCAATGAGAAGACATACATTTGATCTCACTGCGGATAAAACAGAACATGTTTCTACAGGCCATGATCTGGGACCGCGTGGGTATGTGTTTGTGCGTGTGTGTTCCTGTCGTAAGCATCGACCACACCAAGCGGCTCACCAATGGGAAGACGACGGGCTTAACAGCATGAGAAAAACAAGGGTGTTCATGTTCCGCCCCACGTTCCTGACGTCAGTGTTGCTTACATCTTTCTTTCGGCATGTTTTCCGGACGCGTAAGCCGGGGTAGGCCACACAGAAGGAAGGCCACATACTGAGTTTTCTTTGTTTTTCTCCACATTTCCTCTGCCGTACTTGCCTTCAAATTGTATCGAGAAGGATTAAGGCGTCCCGTTCCCTCGTCGACCGCGCAGCAGTAGTCGAATTCGTGGGTTATACAAGTATGTAGTTGTACGCACGAGTCAACTTAATCGGTGTTCCACAATGTTGTTCTAAATTCGGAGACTCAAGTTCAGTTCCTGCGACAGCTGTGCCAGATTCGCACTCACGTCCCAAAACATCGGAAGCTTCCGTACAAACGAGGTCACCAAACTGAAGGATTCAGTCGTTGGGGCAACCACAGGGGGTGCCGTCGAGGTCCGAAAAAAGAAGACGGAAACAGCAGCAAAAACAGCAACGCATTGTGCTAAATAACTGTATCTTGGTTGCGTCCTAGGAACACACAGCTGATCAGGAACTTATAGTGAGAGCGTCGGCCAACGTATTATTAGGCCACGTACGGATCGCGATACCTGTCCACGTGGACAACGTCGTTGCCACGTTGCCGCTGCTGTACTCACATGCTCACAGGGCAGTTACGCACGAGGTAATTAGAAGCCGAAATCAAACACTAATACCAGTCAGCGCTGACTGTATATTACATAGTCTAGATCTAATGGGGTTGATTTCGGCTGCTACAGGTGTAGGGGATCCGCAGATGGTACCAGTTTTGAGCCAAGCCCCCCACCCGCCACCAACAGCTGAGAGCGGAATGATACGGCACGTAGATTGTGTCAACATTGGGATGGGTGGGAATACAAGTGGACATCGACCGTTGGTACTCTGAACCGCGCAAACCCATGGACGTCCAGAAGACCTCCGGTACCTTTGCGTCTCTACTTCTTGCGCCTTTGCATGAGGTATTTGTTCCACGAGTGAGGGGCCTTGAACGGGCCAAAAAACGGAGCACGCCTACAAATACTCACGGAGAAATACGTGCAAGCATACAGCAGCAGTACATCCAGTCGCCAATCTCTAGCGAAGGGCTGTCTCTTGCCTTCACCACACGGCACCAATTACGAGCTGAGTAACGCACAGAAGTCGTTCTGCGCCTGACGCTGCCATTTATATTAAGCTGTGCATCATGCATTATAATAAGCTGTGCATCATCTACAGCTCAATAAGCTGTCCATCATGTGCAGCTCGTGCTTATACCGGAGTCACAGTTGGTGAGACAAACGCACACGGGGACTAGTCTACAGCAGTAGATACAGCCGTAGCAGGCGAGCTACAGGTAGAGCCAGTGCCGCCCAGTTCTCGCCCCATGGGCTAGAGGCACCACGACCTTGTGCCCTACCGCTCGTATTGCTTCTATTTTGCGTCTCATACAGTAGGTGTTGTCCGCTCTCTCCAGGCAATCTCCGCTGGTTGCACTACTGTGCATGATCGTGTCTCCAGGTAGACTTACCATTAGCACTACGCCGCGAGACCCGCGGGAAAATCGTGCGGCAACCAAGCCTACAGCACACTGGGCAGTACTCCAAGCACGCTAGCCAGCAGACGAACGCAATGCCACATAGCAGTTCCGGAGATCACACGTTCCACCTCCCCTCTCTTTAATTCTCTTGTCTCTTTTCGAACATACGAACACACTTGATTCTCCGCAGAGAGACTTCAAGCAGCCTTGCTCTGTGGACTCGCTGCGGTATTCTACAGCAGCAGTACAGCAGTAGTTCAGAATTGAGGTGCGATGACGATCGAAAGCACACGGGTTTCAAGGTCAAGGAAATCAGGGCTCACCTGCAAGTCCAGCCATGGCGCCGGTACCCAACCGAGACAGAGGAGGGGTGCGTGTGCGTGCGGTCTTCTTCCGTCAAAGTCGAAGAACAAGGTCTCACTTCCCGAAGGAGGATGGTTGGAGCAGGGAGTACGATATCGGATGGTAAGGCTTTTTTTGTGCTGCGCAGGCATTTCACCGAGAGATTCGCCGTTTCACGTTTCACCACAAGATCGACAACCAACCACATCAGCAGCAAACTCGCAATTCGTGTCGTCATGATACAACAGCTGTAGTCTACAAGCTGTTTCAAGTTGTTTGTCGGGTGGACACGATCGCACAGCAGCACTGCTGGTACCAGTCGCGCACTACCAACGTCCTGCACCAGACAACAGCACCATTTATTCAAACAGCATATTGGAGGATTCGGTACGTTGTTTTCACATAAAATGTGTTGGGAGAATGATCCACAAAGCTAACGACGGATTCTCTGCATGCCATTACTACGCGTACATAGAAACGAGAGAGACTTCCTCGTGACGGGTGTCGGGCGCCCACACGCTCCCACGCCTTCGCTTCGTGTCGCGGCGCAGTGTTGGCTACAGCAGCAGAACGATCTGGGGGGGGAGGTGGTTAGTCTGGAGAGAGTTTACTGGAGATAAAAGAAAGGCGCGCGCCTTGCCCCGACACTCGCCTACTGCAGCTCTATCCTGTAGGACACGAGGGCAAGATAAGATAGTTTTCAAAGGATGCACGCGTAAATAACGGCTTCCGTTACCTTGCCATTCGACCAATCGCTTCCGTTTTGCCACTCGACCACATAAATATTATTTGAGAGATATTTCGGGGTCTACTTGGCACGTGTGCGGCAGTGCAATGAGAACTCTCGCTTCTCGTTCGAAGCGACAAATACCGCTGTTGTTCAATCAACACAACGAGAGTAGAGACATTGCTGCAGTACTGCGGGATTGTATGTCGGCTGACCACTGGACATGAGCCATTAACGTCCGAAACACCTCCAGAATACAGACTACCGGTCGGTCCCATGAAGCATGCCGACACACACGGGCGTATGCACGCCCCTCACTGGCACCGTAAAGAAACGATTCTTCATCAGACGGCGAAAATACAAAGACGCTCATTCTCAGACCCTTGCTTTCACCGTTTGCCCCGGACGCTACAACCCCCCCCCCCCCCCCCCCCCCCCCCCCCCCCCCCCCCCCCCC